ATTGATTATATAAAACAATATTATTCTGTATTAAAAAAATCCATGGTTAAAACACCCCTATCATCCACAGTCCAAGAACCCCAATTAAAATGTTTCGAATTAAAATCTCCAGCATAAAATGAAATGTATACTTATTCAAAACGTCTTCAAGTCTTGTCAAATGTAAATTCAAGTTTTCCGCAGGGGAGAAGTATACCGACACAACACCCAGTGTAAAGTTCTCCATTCTCAAGGAGATGGCTACTATCTCATTTGTTTTATAAAAAATAATAAATTCAATCTCTTCTTTGATGACAATTATGGCAGATCTTCTCCTTACATCATGCACCGCTCTCCAACCCTTTTTTAAATGTGGGATTTCTGTATTTACATAATAGGGCTCCTGGACAGTTATCAAGTCAAACTTCTGTTCTAAAATATCCTCAACAGCAGCCAACTGGCAAGCTGCCACCGCCCAGTGATTCAAGTTTATATTTAGCACTTTCATAATCAAGGACAAAAAAGCATAATAAAGCAAAAATATATTCTAAATAAAATCAATTACTAAGGGGATATAAAGAATTTTCTCCCTCCTTTCTGCATGCCTTCGTGGTGTAATGGTTAGCACACTCGGCGCGTATTCGAGAGGACCAGGTGGGAGTCTCGGAGAGGATACTACTCATTTTTCATGTAGACTTGTTTCAAAATTACCTAATGTCTCTAGAGTGGCACCCAAACTAAAAAGAAAAAGGAGATGGATGATGATTCTTCACCACCAGGAATTGGCGACTGGGTCCTCTAATCCCAAGTCGCCCTTTAAAAGAGATTTTCTTCCTCCTTTCGACATGCCTTCCTGATGTAACGGTTATCACACTCGGTGCGTATTCGAAAAGTCCAGGTTTGAGTCCCGACGAGGGCATTGCTAATTTTTCACGTCTCCAGCATCAAAATAACCTAGTGACTCTACAGGATCAAAGTGCATTGCATTCACAACGCATTCCTAATTATTGCAAGCAAATTGCTAATTGGGAACGAAATGTCTGCAAGTTTCATATATAAATTTTGTAATTTTGTAAAGAATATAGATTTGGACAATCTTTAGTTAGTTATTTTAAATAACTACACTGTCAAATATGCAAGTTACTAGATACCTATGTCTTCAAAAACGAAATCCATTGTTAATAATTTCATAAAATTTCGCAATGAAGTGAAATTACTAGGGCTTGTATAGGATAAAAGACTTACCTGGCTACCTCACATAGCATACCTTAAAACAAAAACTCAAGCCATTGCAAACAAAATACGTCAACTGCAGGGTACCACTTGGGGAAGGAACCCTCACTTCCAAAAATTACTGTATAAACAGTAATTGAAAAAAAAGAAAAAATAGTTACCTACGCCGCTGACATCTGGGCGTCACCAATAGGAGGATGCAAAGTTAAACAGCTACTCTCAGTGCAACGACCATTTGCCCTCACAATAACCAGTTAGTCACCATAACCTTCCGAACAACTTCCACAGATGCGCTAAACGTTTTACCCGACCGTCTTCCACTTCACATCTACGTTGAACATGAGGCAGTGCTAGCAACGTTACTCCACTCTGCAACAGGAAATTACCTACCATGGCTTTACATTCGCACCTACAGAGTTTGACCTACGATGTACCGTATCCCACACCACACCATCCAGCAGACAAAGGAAAAAGGCATCAAAGTCATACTGACACAGCACAGCGAGTCAGACCTGACCTCAGCCATCTTCACAGATGGCTCAAAATCTGATGCAGGTGTAGGAAGTGCCCTAGTCCATCTCACTAACTCTGTACATACATATCACTGGAAGGGGCACCTCGCGGAGCATAACAGCGTCTTCCAGGTAGAGGCCTTAGCCTTGGAGTAAGCAGTCTGCTATGCCATTACATAAAATCTCCAAAAATATACAAATAATTTCAGACAGCCAATCTGTGCTACAAGCGATCCGCAACCCTTCACATTATTCACAACCAGTAAGGTCCATACAACAATTAATTTGCAAACAGCACGCATCTGAACATCACGCTCCATTGGACCAAGGCACATGCAGGATATGCGGGGAATGAGCTCGCTGATTCTCTAGCCAAAGAAGCGGCTTCTAATATAGAGGCAACTCAATGCTACTTCTCGGCACCAAGATCCTATCTTAAGCGCCGTATTCTGAACATTTCCCTACAAAAATGGCAAACGGAATGAGACAACAGCGACAAAGAGCGTCGTACGTACGATTTTCTCTCAAAAGGCTGCATAGATAGACTCTGCTCTGCCGCACAGCTTATTAGATATATCAGTGGACATGGCCCATTCCCTGAGTATTTCTTGACCCGAGCCATCACGAACTCGGGTCTTTGTATTTGCTGAACACAAAGAAACTCTGACCACTACGTTACGGAATGTCTACTAACCGAAAGGTTCCATATCAGAATGCCTTCCACCAATATCATCCCATTCAAACGGTTTATATTGAGAACTCCAGCCCTACGACAGAGAATCTACAACATTATTAACCTGCTAATGTCATCAGGACTGGATATTGTGGCCACGAACTAAGTAAGATCTATGTCAATTTTCTTCCTGAAACGTTTCCGTGGCGTTTGTACCAGCAAATATATGCTTTACTCCACCAGCGACAGTGCCAACGAGTGCCATTAATGCCAGAATTGCAGCAGTAAAAATAATTAATTAATTAAGTAATCAAGCAGTGAGGTATATAAATATTCAAGCTTACATGAATTTATGTATTCAATGTAATGGTTGGTCTCTGTATTCCGGAGTTCGGAAATTATTGTAAAGAGTGAAAAATAAAGGGTTTCGTATACCCTTCCTGTGTATCTCGTCTACTTCCCACATTTATTGAACATAGCTTTAGTAAGCTCCCTGTTCTGAGTCAGGTTCTTGAATGTTCCCCAAGCAAGTAAGGCAGAACACAGAACCTGATAGTATGACTAATATTAAAAATATTAGCATTTGATATATTATTATTATTTTGTATGAATATGTATTATTTTGTATGAATATGTATTATTTTGTAGGTATGTGTATTATTATTAGTATTTGTTGATGTATCTAAGAATTATGGCAACGTTCGCGCAAGAGCATCACCAACGCATTCTAACAGCTTATATTCATGCAGCTAACGTATTCATGTGACACCATCCAGGTCCCTGTTCGTTCATGCAACTTCACAGAGAAGCAAATGCATTCCCGAGGCAGGCCTCCTGGCACTCGGGAGCTGCCGGTTCAAGATAGTGGAGGGCGTGGGACATATACCTGCTTACCTTTGTTAGACATCAGGTGTCCCCGTCCTCCGTCACCTGTCACCTGTTAGTGATTTTATTTCAGAGAACGAATGCGTTGAATGAAGGCAAAAATGTTTGTAAATTCATTGGTTGAAGCTGAAAAAGAGCATACTGTAATTTGCTCATGAAGTGGAAATATTTTGCTTCAAAATAGAAACTACAGAGTATAAATGCTAGCCTCAACAAGAGTTGTTGATACCCGTTGAAATAACTCATTACTTAGAGTAATAGCTTGTTAACATATGAAAAGGCCTGAGGTTTTAGCCTTGGTTAAGGCAAAAATTCTAAAGCTTTTATCATTATGAACAGCAATTTTCGTATACTTTGAGTCTACCACTGGCTGAGCGGATAAGTCTGCTGAGCATTGGAAATTTGGCCCGCGTTTAAGTGCCAGCGAACTGACTAGCTGCATCGGCGTTTTTCCATTTGTAACGTAAAATCGGATCCTATGTCACTTAAACCATCCTCCACGAAGATATCTTTCGTACAAGGAAGAATGTATTTTGCTATAACTAAAACAATGCACTCCGATTGTCTATTCCCCCTTTTTTTTTACTTATTTTTTCCCGATAAGAGCGCCTATTTCCACTACAGATATAGTTACGGTCAATTTCTCTTTTGATTTAACTCGCATGTAAATAAACCGATCCTTGGGGAGAAAGATATCGCTGGAAGGCATGTTCAGCCTTACTATTATGCTGATTTTGAAAGAATTGTAAGCATAATTTTCTTGAGCAAGAATTACTTTGAATTTGTCAGAATGGATGAGCGGAATAACTGAATTAAAAAAATTAGTTACAATTCATGTAAATGTGTTACCAAATTCCTTTACGCAAGAGCTGAGTAAGCGAATAAAATTAAAATTTGAATTCTCATTACTATCACCTGATATTAAGCTATTTTCAATGAAAAATTTTATACCATGAAATAAAGTTTTGTGCACGTCACGAAATCTTTATTCTTCAAATCTTTAACGTTAATCACTAGGAAAACCACGGAACGCCCATGCAGCCAGCCCGTTCCCCACGATTCGATCCCCGGATTGAACTACCAATGTTCAGCGACTTTACCGCTCAACCGCTGAGCTATTTCAATAGAAAAGACTTCGTTATTTTGATAGGCAAAATTCTGTTCTTCAGAGGCTCTTTTCTATTTTCTAATTAAAATAGATTTTTATATATGTATTTTCTATTCTCTTCACCCTTTTAGAAAAATAATTTGCTGCTCAGAAAGAGAGACCACAGGACTGCTTTTCGAGATGCTCTAAGCCTTTTTCTATCAAAATCAATATTAGTCACAACTCATAATTATATTTATTTATTTCTGAATAAAATCATCTTCAAGAGTTCATTATAAGCATTACTGCTCACAATAATGCTTATAATGAAGTGCAGTTATTGTATATGCTACATCCAGTGCTGGATTGAAGGTTTCTGATTTTTTATGTGACTAAAAGAATGCAGTATAAAAATACTGAGAAGATTGAATGTAGTACTAGGCTTTACACTATCATTAATACCTCAACATCTACCCAAAATTTTTCAGGTGTTTATGCTACTTAGTTATTCTTTTCAGGATGAAAGTTTTAAAGATATTTTATCTCTTATATATATATATGAAGCAATTTTTTTTAGTCTACATTATCAGCGAAAGAAAGGAATCATTTAAATTAATGTTACTTTCCTTACCTCAAACCTCAGATCTCCTACCGGCTGTTTTGCATATGGTATATTTCTGAAAGCGTAAACATTAGGTTCATTTTCTAACTCATATCCTCTAACAGGTCCCCATTTTGTATGCACAACCACTTCGTATGACTTATTGCATAATGAAAGCAAAAAGTATACTTTCACAAAAATTTCCCACTGCAAGCCTAGGATTCCCATATTCTTTGTCAAACTAGTATGAATGACCAGAAAAGATGTTTGAATCTAAAAGTACCTTCACGTTTGAGGCAAAGGTTCACTTCGTAGCGATAAGATGTAGCACAATCAGCTGATCTCATTTCGCTCTTTCAAAAAACACTTAGCCATTCAGGTTTCAGTTACCGCTATGAGGTTGTTGCGCAATCAAAAATGGTTATCTCCATTTGCTGCCTTGCCCTTGTGTTTAGATTTTAATACAAATTTTACTTCAGCATTAGATTAGTTAGGATGCTGGATTTAAAACATCTGTAGTCACGTACTACCAGAAAGTTAAGGTAGATGATTTAGATTAATGTAATTATGCTTATGTATAAAGTATGAATTCAGTAAGTTCATTTAACTTTTAACCACTGAAACTTTTAAGGCATAATTTCAAGTATATGACTGCAGCGATAACTTTATATTTTGTACGTAATTTTAACTTCAGGACAAAATGTCAATAACTCAAATGCTCCGAAAATCAAATATTTTTATTATTAACAGATATTAAATACTTTTGACCTTGATTTATGATATGCTTTAAATATATACACACAGAACTCTAAATTTTTTAGTATCATATAAATAACTTTAATTGTTATATTTGATATTTGTATAACATGCAGCTTATCTAGCTTCCACTTCATCCTAGTTGACAAACGTTCAGTTAGATTGTCACTGTCATTCTAGCGAGTTTATTTAGCATCATCAGGTTATAAATTAAATTTAATTTAAATTTAGTATGCAGTGTAAAATACGACAAAAATTTATTTACAGCCAACTTGAAATTACTCCAAGTAAAAATGCATAAAACTAAAATTTACTGCAGACCTTGCAAAACTGACAGTAATCAATAATACAGTCAGTATACAATATCAGAAACATTCTTTTGTTCTAGCTAGTTCCAGTTTTTTCCTAGCTGGTTCCTGAAGTAAAAATAGATTAAGTGAAATTACTTGCCTTAAATTAAAAACCTTGTAATTAGGAGAGTTATTCCTTAGTTCAAATTCGCAATGCGATAGCGGACAGACATTGTATCGTCTTATAGCAACTAAATTACGTTTATAGTAGATAACAGTAATGATCAGTCAATCAATTAATCATACTTGACGCATACATCTTTTAATAATTAAAATTAAAATCAAGCCTTACAGATACACCCAATTCAAAGTTTCTAAGCTGCTTTAACTTAATGTATTAAAACAGCATTCACTGTTAAAACACTATTTAAAAACTACCATCTTTTTTAGTAAGAAATATTAGTTGCGCATTCTATCTTTAATGTGTAAATTTGTTGTCTCTAATGTTGATTGGCATTTTCAGAAAACTTCATTTATGCTTCATCATCGTTTTAAACAATTGGTTCATTTTCAGAGCTTTTACCCAAGAAAAAGGACATGTTGTCTAACAAAAAATTAAAAAATAATAAAATCAATATTAATGAAAGGGAGGTAGCATTATGTGCATTTGGTAGCTGCTTTTAGTCGTACATTAGCATTTATTATGAATAACAAAAAGTTTTAATTCAAGTGTTCCTCTGTCTAAAGTGGAAATCTTCATAAAATTCAATCAATATTTACGTCAATCTATATTTATGTCAACTGATTTTGAAGGCTATATTTGTAGCGAAGAGGTATGATTTGATTTGGTTTGTTCATCAGTGTAGCGTTATAGTAAAGCCTAATGTACAATCTGAAGTCCTGGAATAATACTTGAACCACATTCACTGGAATAAAATCATTTAAATGTGAATACTGCGCTTCTGTTTTGAGTAATAATTTTTTTTTAATAACATTTTTCTTAAAACCAACGTTTTAACATTTAGAACCAGTTCTTTTTCAATGCATAAACTCGCCGAATCTTTTTTTCAACTATGTTACTCTAATGTAATAATTAATTCTTTTTATTGTTAAAGCTTTCGTTGCATTGATGCAGTCGAAGCTAGAACTGTTAAAATGAGGGAATAAAATTTGTAGGTCTCGCTCATATTGTTGTGAATAGTACTGGAATTTTTATATTTATTTTCGAATCGGGGAGAACAGAAAACAATCAACTCAGTCTTTAACATTACAAAATCAAATAGTTTGTAGTGTGCGGTATCATTAAACTTATTTAACAGCTTTTTAGAAAAATTAGGCTTATCAGATGGACATTTCACTTTATTCAGAAGTGTTATGTACTTGAACTTAGTATGGGACCATACTATTCGAATATTTATTTAGGCACATTAATTGTAATCTCGTAATACAATCACCTGGTTTCACATTTGTCAGCACACGTTCATATTTGTCAGTACTAGCGCGTTTCTTTTCCGCCAAAATTAAGTTATATTCAGCTTGTAAACATAGAAATATTTTCAAGAAAGGGCATTTAAATGAAAATCAAGTAACTTGAATAAAATGTAAAGAATTTCATTATAGTTAACTTCGAAGGACTGATGGTTTGCAAGATGGCATTTTGTGTGAGGATTTGTTTGACGTAAATCTCTTGAAAGAAAATAATTAAAATGCGGCGAATCTTTATTTATTTATTTTTGTTTCATCTATAGGAATTGAGCAATTAATTTTAAAACTCTTTTGAGTGTGTAGAATCAACAGCATTATTTCCCTCATAAATTAGTATAAAGCACAAGTTAAATTCAGATTGCTGTTAGTCGAAAAACAGCTGTAGCATTTTCGATAAAACAAGGATGCGGATATGGATTATGAATTTGCTTATGTGCCACCAGAAGGCACCTTAATATGCTAGATAAGAAAATTAAGCCACTGAGGGCACATGACTTTGACGAACTAGCAAGTGAAACTCCAGGTAAAAGTGGGGAGGACATTATCCTTTTGTACCAACATACTGCATGTATGCCAATCTAAAGCCCAGTTCACACCATGGAGGTAGGAAGTAAGATGGCGTAGCCCTAAACAGGTTTCTTCCGTACCCTGCTCTGAAGCACCGGCGATCCCTATGTGGTGACCAAAACATTGAGTCATTTACCATTAAATTCAATGGGTTTTGACGCGATCGTATGTAAATATTTTGTAATTTCGTTGTAAATATACATATAAATGTATATATTTTCTTTTTCTACAACACTTCAGAGTCCTAAGCATATGAAAACAACATATTTTTAAACAACATTTCATTTTGAACGAAATTAAATGCTACACTTTTCGCAGAACAGTTTCTCAGAATGGTTTAATTTGAATGAAATATTTTCACAAGTTTTCGTTAATTACATTAGAAAAATAATTTAAGGTAATTCGATTTTATTCGGTTAAGGTACAAAATTAAAATCAAAGTTTTTATTGTATTATTAATATTAAAATTATGCATTATTCTTTTTCTGTTTATAGAGCTTCTTCCTAAAATACTTTCTTAAATATGACATGATTTTTTGGCTTCTGAGGCATCTTTTAAATCCAAAAATATAAGTCAATTTATAATTAATGCTCTATTCGGTTTATTTTATTAGAAAATTATTAGAAATTAGCGAAATACATTAAATAGTACTTAACTTTCTTTGAACATTTCTGAAAGGGAATAAAATAAGTTCTTTTTTAAAGTATTATTTAAAACTTGTAACTGAGTTAATATAAAATGTAAGGGGAATAATTCTTTTAATTATACTTATCAGATTTTTTTTCCATTAATTTCAACAATACATATTCCAAAACTTTTTATTACTTTCTTAGGTGCGCATCTCATAGCATTTGCTTTACAATGCCTTTTAACAGATTGCTTTGCAGTACGAACAATTCTTGCTTAAATAGTTTTACAACGTATTTGTCAACAGGATTTCAATTTATGTTTACAATTCAATTTTAAGGTTATTATATATTTAGATAACATTTATAATCATTATAAATTAGATACATTTAATAATTAGATTTCTTCACAGTTGTTTATAAATGAATAAATTCTTCATTTCAAATATATTTATAAACAATTTAATGAATATTTATGTATCTTGTTAAAGGCAGATACATGCTTCTTACACGCACATGCATAAATACCCATACATATTTCATATTTTTCATTTCCGGCATGTGCAAATCTTTAATTTCTGTTCATTCACTATATTTTATTTTTAATTAACCCAAATAAGTAAAACGTGCAAGCCCAAAGAAATTATTTTTCAGATATATAAAATTAAAATGATGAGTTTAAAATGAGCAGCAGTAAAGCCTCTCTAAAAAATTTTAAAAAGTACATGTTACAATAATATATGGATGTGAAAAAAATTTGTTTTATTTAAAACATTTTGACGTTTGGAAAATAAAATAAAAGTAGCGAATACTCTATCAAGGGTATCGAAAGACGTATACAATTTTAAATGTACCGTAAGGTATTTTTCATTCTTTAAGCATAACATTTTTCTTAAAATCTATATTTTTGTAGTGGAACAGCTTATAATTTTATAAAACAAATTCATAATCAAAATCGTTATTAGTTATCTAAAAATAACCAAGATGTGATTTTTGCGTAAATGTCACTAAACTATACAAATCGCTATTATCCATCACACTATGAATGTTTCTTTCATGCGAAAGTGTCCCTTTTTCGATTTCTATGGAACTGTCGTGGGTCGAAATACTATCAGAATCTTGTCAAGCGAGCTTCTGAATGTAAACAAATAACACCCCATCTGGTGACCCAAGCTTCAAAGCAGTGCTTCACTTTTAGCGCGGTTGGCCCCCACCTCCCTTTCCTACCTCCATGGCAGTTTCTAAGGGGAAAAAATTTCCACAGTTCTTTCAACTCCCTTTCTTTATAGAAAAGAAAACTGAGAGTTAAGGGCAATAAATGCTTTCAGTTATCGTTTGACAGGATTGTTTGGAACTTGTTAAGGGGGGTAGTCCTAAAGCATTTGTAAAAGATGGGGGTTTACTTGCCTGAAAACTGTTTATTTTCTTACTTTACATAAATGTGTTCCATGTTACTTAAAAAGGTGAACGATTGCTTGCACATTTTCCGCCCATCAAAGCGATAA